GGGAATTCCTTTGTTTCCTTTAACACTGGCAAGAACTTAATCCAGGGAGTGGATTAGTTTGATAAGAGAGTAAAGGTATTGCTCTAGCTTAAGCCAGACAAACTTTGTATCCATTGAAAGGACAGAACCACTGAAATGATTTTGATCAATTAGTTGGCAACTCTAGAAAACAAAGCTTTTAAGCCCCTCTTTTACCCTCAGGCTTGATTTGGTGCTGGCAGGTGCAGCTCATTCCTATAAACTCATTGATTGTGAAGATATTTAACCTAGAGTTAAATGTCTGATCAGTGACCTAGCCAGATTAAGCTCTTCTCGAGGGAGTAGACTTTATTATGGTAATCCTCTACTCAAAAAGCACTCCTTGCTGAAAGTTCGCTGTATGGCACCGTATAGCATAGTGGGTACAATTCTTTACGTGAACCTTTGAGCACAGCAGGCTCTTCACATTGGAAGCCTCCATGCTGTAGGTTGCCAGAAGTGCTGTTTTATATGGATTAACTTTTCAGTTGGTTTACTTTGCCACGCTGATCTCTGCAGAACAGATGATAAAAACAAACAAATCAGTGCTGTCTGTAGCCTTAGTAAACATTTGCAATCATTGGGACCTACAGCGGGCTCAGCTCAGGGAAAGTGCTGCTTGCGTAGGATCCATGTTTCTGACTTCAGAAGCAGCTTGTTTGTGAATATGTTATAGGTGGCATTTTCCCACCAGTCTGGTACTTTCAGTTGTAATTTCAGACAGTGTAATGATATCCGTGATCAAGTTACATATGGGTTTTTAACTCTTGTTAGCACACTTTATTAGTTCATAGGTTTGCTACAAATTTGATATTGACCTGCACCTCTTTTGAAGTTAGGTATGTTGTCCCTTGCTGGTAGAGTCTGGTGAAGAATAACTTTTGTCAAATTGAAAAGCAGGCACTTTCCTTGAGTGTGGCCTCCTGTGATTTTAACAGACACTTGGGTGGTTTTATTTACTCTGAAATACTGGCTGTATGTAGGATTTATGTTTGGAGGCAGTGGGGGTGGGATGGGAGAGGACTGTGACTCAAAATGAAGAGCTGCCTCACCTTTTTCCTCAGTCTTCGGAATTCTTTTTTTATTCCATGCCCAATGGAACAATACCATCACCAGTTAAATTTGTCTGGATGGCCAAGTATTGTGCATTGAAATGAATCAAATGAGCTTGAGGAATTTAAATTTTTTTAGTCCTCAATTATAACTCAGTCCATTTTAATATACAAAATATTGGCCTAGAATAGCGATAGTTTTTAAAAGGGTGAACTGGAAGTCTCTTTTTAAAAAGTTGTCAACATTGGTAAGGAACAGAATATATGTAATATAAAATTCTGTCTTCATTCTTGGTCCACTCACATTATAAGTTAAATGCCAGTGGCAATCGTAGTTTAGCACAGCTTATATAAAACAGCTCTGTGTAGGGGAGGCAGGGTTTCCTAGTGGATAGAGCACTGGATTGAGACTTAGAAGACCTGAGTTCCATCCCTGACTCTGCCACTGACCTTGCTGGGTGACCTTGGACAAGGCACTTTGCCCCTCTGCCTCAGCTTCCCCATTTGTAAAATGATGGTAATGATACTAGCTTCTGAACTGATTTGAGCTGTATTGATGTAAAGCCCTATATAAGAGCTAGGTACTTATGTAAAGCAAACAAAGCTTTGTTTTCTGTTGGTTTGGCTGTCCTAGCCCACAGCAGCAGCGTCTGGATCTCCATTGCCCAGTCTCTAGTGTTTTTGCTACAACAAATGCTTTATAAATGCAAATATAAATCAAAATGTATCCACAGCATTATAGGAGTTTTGTTATATTTAGCAGCTCTAAGCATAATTCTTCTTGTCCTGCTCTCTAGCCACTGTCTTGTTTTCCTGCTTTCTCTCCATTCCCAGCATGCCCTACATTCCAGGGAAATTCCCCCTCCCTTTATTTAAAGGCACAGATGTAATCACTCTGCTACTTACAAATACATCTTAAAATAATAATTTAAAAGTTATTTCCTCCTGCTTACCTACCAATGCCATAAAGTTCTGGTTTCTCTTCTGGTACGATAGGTACCAACAACTTATAAATGTGTGTTTTTATTCTAGCTCTAGAACTAAAAGTTTTTTCTAAAGCATTTAGAGCCCACTCAAAGCCCATTGGGGTCAATGAGACTTTTGGATCAGGGGAAATTTTCATAGGGGAAATTCCTGTCAAATTCCCCTAATTTTTCTCAGTCTGTTTCCTCACATTGGCGTAAACATTTACTTCTTCCTATTATTTCATGTGATGCTCTATAGGCAGACAAAAGACTGTCATGTTCCTGTCCGGAGGAGCTTACAGCTTAAATAGGAGCTTATAGTAGATGTTAATTAAATCCCTTGCTACTCTACCCTGCAAATAATTGTGAATAATGGTGTCTCTTCACATTTATAATAGCACTTTGCAAACCTTAATTATCATTGTCTGTTTTGGTAAAATATTGCTGTTAAATTGTCAGTTTGCCTGCATATCATCTAGTCTGACACCAGTTTATCGTCAAACATTGTCTGCATTGATCTCCCCACCCCCTCCACGCACACAGCAGTTTTGTTCCCTCCACATTCCGCCCCAGTACACACATTCACACCTTTATCCTCTGCATGCAGGAAGCAGTGCTATCTTAAAACCTGGCCTGGGAAGCTTGTACACCCTCCTTGCTGAAGTGAACCATATCAAATTCAGTCATTTAGCGGTATAATAGCTAAGAGACACCAACAGAAAACCCAGCATACTCTTGCCAAACCAGGAACTGGTTTAGGATGCTAGTAGCATCTGTAGGATCCCATTGTGCTAGCTAGGAGTCCTCCATCAATGGTAGTCAGAAATTGAACATTGTGAAGTCCTCCTTTTCTAAACACATTTTTTTCTGTCTTGGTGCATGTGTATTACCATACAGAGGTGGTGTATGCACTTGTATATGTATTGTGCATTGTTATCAAAACACTTTAATAGGTGTATACATTTTAAATTCCCATTTTCTGGCCCTCAAAGGTACGTCTAGGATTTGGCAATATACTTGTATTGTTAACTGCATGTAATTAACTGGCACCGATATGCCAATAGGCATCTTTAGGTAACTATGAGCTTTTAATAAAGCCTTATGCAGATCCCCTTGAATATCTCCTGTCTTCCGCTGAGCTCTTCAAGACTCCCAGTCTGTCTTGTTCAGCCTCATCAGTCAGAACTCCCTTCCTGCTCAATGACACTTTCCCCCCATGCACTGCTTTGTCCCTCATCCTACACATTCTCTGTTGATTCCCATACATGCCTGGCAAACCCCAGATGGTTTATAAGGTTTTCAGGTAAATTGTGGGTTGGAGCAGAATAGAGGGAATCTTTATGGACAGTTGTGAAACGCTGAGTTTTCTGAGATCTCATAGGAACATGGAATTGCCAGACTGGACCAGATGATTCAAATAACTGCCGGTGATTGGGCTTTCGCAAAACAACCAAATATTGAGAGACTTGCAGTCATAGGCGGCGAGTTATATTCTTTTGTGGTGCCCGGGCTCCAGGAATATTCAGGGCCGGGGGCCTTGCTCCACCAGTATTTGGAGCTGGGTCTCTCCCTTGGCCACCTCTCCCCCTGCGCGTCTTCCCCCCCTGCCCCGCTGCGTCCCTGCCTGAAAAAAAGCGGCGCGCACCTCTCCTGTGCCTGCTTGTGCTGCCGGTGTAGCACATTCCTACGCGGAGCGGTATCTACACTACACCGGCTCCCGGCATCAACTGCTGTCTGCTGCCTCAGGGTCCTAGTGCCCCCATCCACTAATGGCAGGGCAGGCTGCCCTTACCCTGCCATTCCGCCTTAGCCCTGAGCCTCTCCAACGCCCCAAACCCCTCATCCCCAGCCCTCATCCCCCCGCACCCTAATCCTCTGCCTCAGCCCCCTCCTGCATCATGAACCCCTCATCCTCAGCCCCACAGCCCTCACCCCTGCACCCCCTCCCACCCCCAAACTCCATCCCAGAGCCTGCACCCCATACCCGCTCCTGCACACCCACCCCCTGCCCCAGCCTGGAGCCTGCACCCCAGACCCCCTCCCGCACCCAAACTCCCTCCCAGAGCCTTAGGCAGGTGGGGTGCAGAGTTTGGGGGAGGGCGGAGTTGGGGGGGCGGGTTCTGGACACCACCAAAATTTCTACAAATCTGCCACACAGGCTTGCAATAAAATCACATGTTGGCAACACTGGGATTCTGACTTTGGGCCTATGGTAGTTGTAACGTTTGGTGTAAGTTAACCCTTGCAGGAGCCCAGTAGGCTCTATTTGACTCAGAGTTTGAGTTCATTCAGACCCCAGTGTTTTCCTCTGTCCCAGCTCTTACTGATGGGTCTCTGCTGCTTTTGTTTTTCTTTCTGAAGGGATTAGACATTTCAGTTCAGTTTATACAGTAGTAGTTACTGGAGATGCACACACAGCCCCAGCAGGGACAAGTGACCATGAAAATGATGCTTAAGCGCTTTCTTTTATGTTTTGCTAGATAAATATTTAGGAGTGTGCAGCTGTGCCTGGGAGGTCAGCAGCGTTGCCAGGCTCCTATGAACTACTCTTTCCCAGAAAAAAATGAATCACAAATAAGGGATGTCTTTGTTCACCTGGCTCCTCAAGTTATGTTCTAACTTGATGTAATTTTCTGGTGAAAGTACACCCTAAAGGGTAGGGTGTGCTGCTGGCACTAATTTCTCAGCATTTAAAGGCATCTGAACACCTTGTGGTTTATAAATACTCCATTCTTGATTTTTATCAAGCTTCTTCAAATCCATTCCTTCCTCCATTTCTCTTTAGAAACTTCATTAAAATTGTAGAACTGCGGCACATTGATGGGTCTGATTTCACTGAAAAATCATGTGTGCTGTCAGTCTTAGCAAGAGTTCTGCCACTCAGCGTAACATAAACCATATATACAGAAGTAATTCAGTTTAGTGACTTACTGGTATGTGTTGCTGCTTTTTCTTCACATTTCAGTATTCCCAAGAGAGATCACGGGTGAAAAAATGTCCTACAAAGAGTTTCTGGATCGCAACGAGACCTGGGCGATGGATGAGAGAGACCTTTGCTTTGAACCACAGTCTATATTCAGACCCATGGAGGGGACAGGTATGGCTGTATTAACCTACACCGTTGTTAAAATAACCTTAGGGCTGCACCCTAGCCAACAAAATCCTGGAATCTCACCACCTCACTTAAGGTTGTTTTTTCTATACCACTCTCACATTTTTTTCCTAAATGCATTGCCCATAGTTCCAAAGACCGTAACACCCCAGTGAGTTATATAGACTGTCAACCTGGTGTTCTAATCAGGCACAGGACACAATCTAAAAAAATAAAACAGCAGAATAGGTTATCTGGTAATTGTACACTTGTGCCCTAATGAGCTCTGTGGAAATGGGATGCTTCTGTGTGAGCCAGTTTAAATTGAGTCATTTTTGGTCATTTTGTTAAGATTGTAGTAAGATTGGTCTTTTAGTTCAAGATCTGTGAAAATGAACTGTACTTCAACTCACCTCCATGTATTTTTGAAGCACTGTGACAGAGATTGGAGCATATAGCTCACATCTGCCACTGATCTTGGACTGACGTAAACCTATTCCTTTAGAGCACTTTGTTTGAGGAAACTCATATCTGTAGTCATAATAATGACAGTCTTGGTATCTTTTTTTTAACTAATAGTCTTTTTCAACTAATTAGCTAGTGTCTGCGTTATATTCAGTCCATATTAACAGTAATGTTTGTCATCAAAACACATCTGTCCTTATTGTAGACACTGTCTATATATTTTTTTTTTAAAAAGAAAAGCATAGAATCCTAGAATCATAGAATATCAGGGTTGGAAGGGACCTCAGGAGGTCATCTAGTCCAACCCCCTGTTCAAAGCAGGACCAATTCCCAACTAAATCATCCCAGCCAGGGCTTTGTCAAGCCGGACCTTAAAAACCTCTAAGGAAGGAGATTCCACCACCTCCCTAGGTAACCCATTCCAGTGCTTCACCACCCTCCTAGTGAAAAAGTTTTTCCTAATATCCAACCTAAACCTCCCCAACTGCAACTTGAGACCATTACTCCTTGTTCTGTCATCAGGTACCACTGAGAACAGTCTAGATCCATCCTCTTTGGAACCCCCTTTCAGATAGTTGAAAGCAGCTATCAAATCCCCCCTCATTCTTCTCTTCTGGAGACTAAACAATCCCAGTTCCCTCAGCCTCTCCTCATAAGTCATGTGCTCCACCCCCCTAATCATTTTTGTTGCCCTCTGCTGGACTTTTTCCAATTTTTCCACATCCTTCTTGTAGTGTGGGGCCCAAAACTGGACACAATACTCCAGATGAGGCCTCACCAATGTCGAATAGAGGGGAATGATCACGTCCCTTGATCTGCTGGCAATGCCCCCACTTATACAGCCCAAAATGCCGTTAGCCTTCTTGGCAACAAGGGCACACTGTTGACTCATATCCAGCTTCTCGTCCACTGTAACCCCTTGGTCTTTTTCTGCAGAACTGTTTCCTAGCCATTCGGTCTCTAGTCTGTAACAGTGCATGGGATTCTTCCTTCCTAAGTGCAGGACTCTGCACTTGTCCTTGTTGAACCTCATCAGGTTTCTTTTGGCCCAATCCTCTAATTTGTCTAGGTCCCTCTGTATCCTATCCCTACCCTCCAGGGTATCTACCACTCCTCCCAGTTTAGTGTCATCTCCAAACTTGCTGAGAGTGCAGTCCACGCCATCCTCCAGATCATTAATGAAGATATTGAACAAAACCGGCCCCAGGACCGACCCCTGGGGCACTCCGCTTGAAACCGGCTGCCAACTAGACATGGAGCCATTGATCACTACCCGTTGAGCCCGGCGATCTAGCCAGCTTTCTATCCACCTTATAGTCCATTCATCCAGCCCATACTACTTTAACTTGCTGGCAAGAATACTGTGGGAGACTGTATCAAAAGCTTTGCTAAAGTCAGACCTTTTGTTCAAAACTGTCAGATTTCTTCTAGCCTTGGATCCCATTGCCAGATTTTAGTTCAGATGGGATTTTTACTATTTAAACAACAGGTAAACAGATTAGAATTGGATGCACTGTGTTCTGCCTCTGCTCATGGAGACTAGAGAGCATTTCATGAACCAAGCTGAAGTGACATTTACTGTATGTTCCTCATCAAGGGGTGCCAGCAGATGCTATTGTTGTCCATATTTTTGTTAAATGTTTAACGGGGAACTCTTGGAAGGGCAATATCTTATTTGTTACTTTCCTAGCAGTTTGGACAAAAGTGGACCATAAAGCCGAAGGCTTGTTCTTGGGATCCAATTTCTACCTTTTATAATTTTCTTCACTTGTTGAAGTTCATAAAGCTTGTCTGTCTTTCCTTCCTCACTACTTGCCTGCCTCCCTCTCAATTTACTATTACCTAAACCTCATCTATTGTTTATATAGCACCAATAACTACAATATTGGGTTATGCTTTCTCCCTCAGCACACCAAAATGTACTGGATTGTATTTCATTTTGTGTATATAGATGCATGATGAGATGCTCCATCAAGTCCAAACAAGGACTTGAAATTCTGAAAAATGCAATTTCACCCAATAGTTAACCCAGAACTGCACTTTAATACTTGTCTACAAGACTGACAGTGAAGGATCAATATGTAGAGGTGTACAGATTTCATCCAATAAACTTGTTTATCACTGGCTACGATCATAACTAGATCAAGTATCCCATTTTATATATAACAGGAAACCAATGGAAAAAGCTGTGTTTCCGTGTGAGGGTTTGTGCCTCTGGTTACCGGGCAATACGGCCTAGTGGCCAGAGTCCATAGAATCTCCCCTGGCTGCAGGGCAATGTGGCCTAGTGGCCAGAGTCTCTAGGGTCACCCCGGATTGCAGGGCAGCACATCCTGGTGGCCAAAGATTCTCCCACTCCAGCCTACCTGCGGCATAGGACCTTGCCCCTGGCTCAGCAGGGGGGGGTCCGACCGAAACACGCTGAGGCTTGCTGGGGGCAAGGTACCAGTCATCTGTCCCCCCCCAGATCGCTTCCTACCAGCTTGAGCATTGAGGTCTCCCATGAGTCCCTAGGTTCCCTGCGGGCCTCCGGGTCAGTCGCCTCCCCGGGTTCCTCCTGTAGTAGGGCTTCGAGCCGGCCTGGAGAAACTTCAGTCCCCGGCGCCTCCGTGGGCGGTGGTTGGTCCTTCGCTGGAGCTTCCCGGTCAGGTCCTTCCCCTGCGGCTGCCAGCCCAGACTGAGCTGGGCTCCCTCCTTTTATACTCCCAGAGCACTTGGAGCATGCCCAGTACGGACGGAGCGGGACTTCCAGCGTCAGTGCTACCGGCCTGACGCTGCTGGGGCTGTGCGGGGCGGTGCTGCCCCGTCACATTCTGGAATAAATATTCTTGCAGTTAAAATTCTTGCACAGGTGTTTTGTTTCTTTTTATCCCTGTGCGAATGTACAATATGGATATCTTATAACTACGAGTAATCCAATTACTGAGCGAGTCACTAGCTCTAGACTGTTGGGGCAAAACTCAGGTTTTTTCCTGTTTTCACCTAATTGACCTTTTCCCCAGCCCTCACACTGTTTGAATACTGGGCGCATATCCTTTTCCTGGTGTTTAGAGCTACGGAAGCTGTGTTTTCTGTATGTCTTGTATGCATAGTCCTTTTGCCAAAAAGGAAACTTGTTCAGTCAGATTGAAGGATGTTTCTTTATGGGTGTCCATGCAAATTACACAAGGATTGTCAAGTTTCCAAAGAAGAGCTATTGAGTCTGACAGCTGAGCATGATTGCATCCAGGCAGCAGTAGAAGTGTTGGAAGTCCAAGTCATAAATGTCTTGGGCTGCACAGTGGACAGCGGGCAAGCTGCTGACCTGCACTAAAATTCCTTGGTGCGACTGACTAACCAGTGTCTGATCTGGGGCATATAACGAAGACTGTTCTCCTCATAGACTTTTAAGGTTAAAAGGGATAATCATAATCATGTAGTCTGCCCTCCTGCACATCGCAGGCCACAGAACCTCACCCACCCAGTCCTGTAATAGACCCATAACCTTCCTCAACTGTCATAACTATAAAGGGAAGGGTAACAGCTCTCTGTGTACAGAGACTCCAAATCCTTTTACCTGTAAAGGGTTAAGAGGCTCGGGTAACCTGGCTGACACCTGACCCGAAGGACCAATAAGGGGGCAAGATACTTTCAAATCTTGGGGGGGGAAAGGCTTTTGTGTGTGCTCTTTGTTTTAAGGGGTGGTTCGCTCTTGGGACTGAGAGGGACCAGACATCAATCCAGGTTCTCCCCATCTTTCTAAACAAGTCTCTCCTATTTCAAACTTGTAAGTAAAAAGACAGGCAAGGCGTCTTAGATTTATTTTGTTTTCTCAACTTGTAAATGTACCTTTTACCAGAGTGTTTATCTTTGTTTTGCTGTACTTTGAACCTAAGACAGAGGGGGGTCCTCTGAGCTCTTTAAGTTTGATTACCCTGTAAAGTTATTCTCCATACTGATTTTACAGAGATGATTTTTACCTTTTTCTTTAATTAAAAGCCTTCTTTTTTAAGAACCAGATTGATTTCTCCTTGTTTTAAGATCCAAGGGGGTTTGGATCTGTATTCACCAGGAGTTGGTGAAAGGAGGGTGGGAGGAAGGAGGGGGGATGGTTAATTTCTCCTTGTTTTAAGATCCAAGAGGGCTTGGATCTGTGTTCACCAGGGAATTGGTGAAATGTTTCTCAAGGCTTCCCAGGGAGGGAATTCTTGTGATGGTGGCAGCGGACCAAAGCTAAGCTGGTAGATAAGCTTAGAGGTTTTCATGCAGGCCCCTACATTTGTACCCTAAAGTTCAAAGTGGGGATACAGCCTTGACATCAACCATCTTGTAATGTCTCTGAATGACAGGAGAAATGGGTGATTTCTCTGCCTGGCCCATTTTGCTAAATTCATCCTCTGGCTCAACAGCCAATTACACCTCCATGCTGCTTTGAGGGAAGTGTATGTATGGCTCATTATATGCTTTTCCCCAAAGTGCAGTATGGGACATGACAGAATGACATTTGAGTTATCTGAGCTGGAACAGTTTTCATTTCTTCCTCAGATCAGATATACTGGTCCATCAAATCACCCAAGACTTAAATGCTGCTCTTCTTTGAGAGAGGGACATACAGGTGCACCATACAATATTTATTCTACTCTTTAACCTATCTTGGCTACAAAATAACACGGACAACCACATTTTCATGTTGGGTATAAATCTTGTATGAAAGAGGACAAGTTATCTTTTTTTTTTTTAAGGGGGGGGGGGAACACCCACATTTCCTAGCTTTGTATAACATCTTGCAGGGCAAAGTTGGTAGTGATGCTCATCCTCAGCATTCTTACATAATCTTCCTCTCATGTTGTCATCCTTTTGTGGTTACATGTTTAACTTAGTCTCATGTTCCTCAGAGCCCTTCAAGATGCACAGAGAGGATGTCATGTCTGATCTGCTACGTCCTTCTGAAATGGAGACTCGCCTACCATTCACAGAGCATTTTGAAGCTTCAGAAGAAGTTCATGGTATAATCCTCCATTGAATATGTTCATGGGCTGCTGTTAACTGGGGGTTCAGTTTTCAGTTTCTATATATGGAATTCAGGGCTGTCTACAGAAATCCATTAAATTGGCAATAGTGTAAAATTTTACCTCCTTTCTTCTCTTGAATCTTTTTGTCAACAGTGTTTTCGGTTTGAGGTCTCTAAAGAGACCTTGTTTTTTATCCCCTTTTTGTCCTATTTTATTTTAATTAAAAAAAAAAAAGCTGAATTAAACCAAAGTTATGGAAAACTTTAACTTCATCTTCAAATGTTTTGTCCCCATTTGTGGTTTTTTTTCACTTTCCAGTTTTCAACATTTGGACCATGGCAGCTTGAGAGCTCCTATAACAATAGCTTATTTGGGAGTAGTACCTGAAAGGCACACAACTTCCCTTCCCCCGCCCAATAACATTTGATTAACTTTTTCTTAGTCTAGATCTAGTGCCTCTCCGAGTGAATTAACAGGTAGGTTTATGTACAGTATATAGACTCGTGTATACATTGTTTGTGATGAGATTAAAGTACATTGCTCTGTAAGTTAATGGACCTAATGAAATAAGTTTGTGTTGTAAACAAATCCGAATTCAAAAGGATGATAGCAGTGTCAAATGTACTTTGTTTCTTACAGCACCCCATGCAGCTATGATTGTACCTGAACTGCCTTCTCTGGGATCCCCATATTCTCCTGCAGAACTTATCGATCCATCTGCCTTCATCACCCTGGATTCAACTACAGAGTCTCTGCTGAATATAGCAGGTGAAACACACTTCTGCTGCTGCCATGCTATTTTATAACTGGGGTCAGAGGGATCTGCGGGTCAGAAACTGTTAGGTGTATTCATCTTAAAAAGATAATCATATTTGGCTTTTCCAGTTATATAAAATGAGTCAAGATTAAGAAAATATCCCATTGGAAAGAACATAAAATGCTTCTGGAGAATAGCTAATGTGGTTCCTATTTTCAAGAAGGGGAAAAAAAGTGACCCGGGTAACTACAGGCCTGTTAGTTTGACTTCTGTAGTATGTAAGGTCTTGGAAAAAATTTTGAAGGAGAAAGTAGTTAAGGGCCTTGAGGTGAATGGCAATTGGGACAAATTACAACATGGGTTTACGAAAGGCAGGTCGTGCCAAACCAACCTGATCTCCTTCTTTGAGAAAGTAACAGACCTTCTAGATAAAGGAAATGCGGTGGATCTAATATACCTCTATTTTAGTAAAGCATTTGATACGGTTCCGCATGAGGAATTATTGGTTAAATTGGATAAGATGGGGATCGATAGGAAAATCCAGAGGTGGATAAGGAACTGGTTAAAGGGGAGACTGCAGAGGGTAGTACTGAAAGGTGAACTGTCAGATTGGAGGGAGGTCACCAGTGGGGTTCCTCAAGGTTCAGTTCTGGGTCCGATTTTATTTAATCTATTCGTTACTGACCTCGGAACCAAATGTAGGAGTGGGCTGATAAAGTTTGCGGATGACACAAAGTTGGGAGGCATTGCCAACTTGGAGAAGGATCGGGATATTCTGCAGGGAGACTTGGATGACCTTGTAAATTGGAGTATTAGTAATAGGATGAGATTTAATAGTGAGAAGTGTAAGGTGATGCATTTAGGGATGACTAATAAGAATTTCAGTTATAAGCTAGGGACGCACAGGTTAGAAGTGACTGAGGAGGAGAAGGACCTCGGAGTCCTGGTGGATCGCAGGATGACTATGAGTCGGCAATGCGACGTGGCTGCGAAAAAAGCTAATGCGATCTTGGGATGCATAAGGCGAGGTATTTCTAGTAGGGACAGGGAGGTGCTGCTTCCGTTATACAAGGCGCTGGTGAGACCTCACTTGGAGTACTGTGTGCAGTTCTGGTCTCCTATGTTTAAAAGGGATGAACTGAAACTGGAACGGGTACAGAGAAGGGCAACTAGGATGATCCGAGGAATGGAAAACCTTTCCTATGAAAGGAGACTCGAGGAGCTTGGTTTGTTTAGCCTAACGAAAAGAAGGCTGAGGGGGGATATGATTGCTCTCTTCAAATATATCAAAGGGATAAATACCAGGGAGGGGGAGGAATTATTTCAGCTCAGTGCTAATGTGGACACGAGAACGAATGGATATAAACTGGCCGTGGGGAAATTTAGGCTTGAAATTAGACGAAGGTTTCTAACCGTCAGAGGGGTGAAATTTTGGAACAGCCTTCCGAGGGAAACGGTGGGGGCGAAAGACCTCTCTGGCTTCAAGATTAGGCTAGATAAATTTATGGAGGGAATGGTTTGATGGGATTACGTGATTTTAATCAATTAGGCAATAACGGCCATCGCTGGTAAAATGAGGGTCTGGCTAGAGAATCTTGCCTGTATGCTCGGGGTTCTGCTGATCGCCATATTTGGGGTCGGGAAGGAATTTTCCTCCAGGGTAGATTGGCAGTGGCCCTGGAGGTTTTTCGCCTTCCTCCGCAGCATAGGGCAGGGGTCGCAAGCTGGAAGATTCTCTGCAACTTGAAGTCTTTAGATCACGATCTGGAGACTTCAACAGCAGAGCTAAGGGAAAGTGGGGGGGTCAGCTTTTGTGGCCTGCATCATGCGGGGGGTCAGACTAGATGACCATATTGGTCCCTTCTGACCTTAAAGTCTATGAGTCTATGAACTCAATTTTCAGTCTGAGAGATTTCTTAAGGTATTTGGGAGCAAAATATCCCATTGAGAGAGCGCCTCTTGTACTGGTGGATCTTAAAATTAGTATTCGTTATTATCCCTTTCTTAATCCCTTAGATCCATAATAATATCAGAGGAGAGCATGTTCAGGTCCTGTAAGGTTTCCCAAGATGAACTAATAAGTTCTTTCTAAGAATGAAGTTGCAAGAACAGCAAAGCGTGTACCACATGAGTAAATACGTGGTTGCAATGTGTAGTTGAGCATCTGTTTTGAAGTCCAGAACCAGTGCTGTTGACATTGACAGGGCTATATGTACTAATTGTTTCCCTTAGCACCTGCAAGAGTGACAGTGCCTGAAGAACATTGGCTGGGAGCTCAGCATGCTGTGGAGGGACTAGATGAATCTTCTTTTGTAGAGCCACCAGGTAAAAATAAAAGTATTGGGTTGTCCCCAGAAAATTGTTTCTGGAGTCTTTCAGCAGGATTTGAATGCCAGAAATAGATGGACTTTCCTTCCCTTTTAAAAATGGAGGCTAAGAGCTGTATTGTGGGTACTATACCATGACTAAGACACTGCTGTGTTGGTTCTGTAACATCCTTGGAATAGAAAAAAATCTTAATTGGAGGTATGTTTTCTTACAGCAAAGTGCTCAGAATTGGGAAAAGAAATAAAATGAATTGTGAACTTCAGGTATCTCTCTGAAGATGGATTTATCCTTGCTATCTGGGGGGGTCTATGTTCACTCCCAAGTGAGTTTTTTGGGTGGACAGAATCAAGGAGCTTTTCTTGATGTTGATAATAAAGCCTTGTGCTTGAGTATCCTGCAAAGTCAGAGGCATAGCTCTGTATGCCACTGCTAGGGATAGATCTCTGATTAAGATGTTGTCCAGGAGGGGTTACGGCTGGATCTGTGTGACCTGAGTCGGTCTATGATTATCACCAATATCTTTATAAAGACCTACAAGGCAGAGGACAAGCCAAATGGGAGCATCAGATATTGATAATGCTTCCTGATGTAGGCAAACCTTGGGAACCTGTGGTGGCACGGTCTGATTGAGATGTTGGAGGTATATGCATCCGCCAGATCTACTGAAGTCATAAAATCTCTCTGGGACAGGGATGTCACCATAAAGGTTAGGGTCTCCACCTGGAATTTTGTTTTCTTCATCCACCTGTTGAGCCTTTTGAGATCCAGAATGGCTCTCATTCCACCTGTAAACATCTGAATGATGATGATGGAGTAGAACCCTGAAAAATCTATCTTCTGAGAGAATGCTCTCTATTACTCCCACATCCAGGGAATGAGAAATCTTGTTCTGGATTAAACCATGCTTTATGGGGTGGTTTGAGATCTAGGACTGGATGAAAAATGGATGGTGTGGAGCCCGTAACTCAAGGGAGTATCCCTGACCCACTAGTCCATGGGCAAAGAAACCCATTTCTCCAGGAAATGGAAAATCCTGCCCCCAGGCTTCAGCTCTAGGCAGAGACCTATGTAGTCTTTGTCATAAAGAGGCTTTGGGAATGGCAGGGTTCCCTCGGGGCTTTCCTCTGGAGAACAAGTTGTCTCTTCACTGGTGTTTCTGTGAGGATGAAAGCCGAAAGGAATGCCTTTGCCTGAAGGCCATTCTGTACTCTCGCAAAAGGTATGGTATGGCATTAGGAAGGATTGTTTAGATTTTGAGGCACTGTCTGCCATTACTTGGTCTAGCTTCTCTCTGAAAATCAGGGCTCCCATGAATTTGGTGGAGCACAGGACCTGCTTCAAGTGACTATCCTCCTTCCAGGGATGGAGCTATAGGTGGCACCTGGTCACTGAGCTGGAGGCCAAGGCTTTGGCTGAGAATCTCATTGCATCCACTGAGGTTCAACAATGAATGCTGTTGTCAGGGAAACTTTCTTTAATTAGAGCCAAAGTCAGGGTGTTCTCTTATCATTGAAGGCTCTGCGATATTCCAGCCAGGAGAGAGAGATGCCTTCACAAAGCAAATAGCATTAGGGATGGCCTGAGGGAGACTGACGAAACCTCAACATCTTTTTTGAGTGTAGCCTCTGTTTTTCTATACATGGGGTCCTCAGGATAGAACTCCCCTTCTGAGTGGAAAACCATATCTTTAGCCCAGGACTCTAGGATAGCATCAGCCTTTAGTATCTCAGTAATTGGGACTTTTGGTTCCTGGATCCTATACAACCTAAGATCATTTCCGAGCATAGGGATTACTCCACGGGCACAATCACACATCAGTTGGCTTAATCTTAAAGGTATGGGACTGCTCCCCAGAATGCAGGGAAGATCAAGAGAGGGTTCTGGCACAAGTGATCAATTCCTTAAAATGGTTGTCAGCCCAGGGCAAAGTTCACAAGGGCAATGACTTCCAGGTCCCCATATCCTCTCAATCGATGCCAGCCTGGAGGGCTGGGGAGCACACATGGAGTCCCAAACAGTTCAAGGCAGCTGGCACCTGGAGGAAAGGACCCACAGCATAAACCTCCTAGAACTAAGGGCGGTCAAGCTGGCTCTATGAAAGGTTCCAGACCAGCCTAGAGGGGAACCAAGTCCTGCTTCAGTCAAACAGTATGACCACGGTCACACATGTGAACAACCAGGGGGCAACAGGGCCATCCTTAGGATTTATGGGGCCCTACGCAGCAGTATTAAACTGGTGCCCCTATGCCTGACTTGCTCTTAGCAACACAAGCATAAGCTTACAGTATTGGAAAACTTGCCACATGCACTTTATTAAAAACAGTTTAAACAAATTTAGCACGCTATAATGCTGATGGACTATACTTGCACTAAAGAAGTAGCGCTATAGAAAAAATTCTGATTTATTGACAGAATGATGCAAATAATATAACTTCAAATTTGTCAACATTTTATTGGAAATTTCTATGGAGAGGTATTGAAACAAGGATTTGTTTTTAATTAAAAGCAATCTTTATGGCTTTTTTGGCTGCAAAATCAGTAATAATGTCATCGTATGACAAAGACGAAATGATATGTTATTCGATTGCAAGAATAGCAAGACCAGTCAAGCATTCCTGACTCATTGTAGAGCGGAGATAGTAGAATCAGAAGAACGGAGTTTCTGAAAACTAGAGCTCATTAAAAACTGTTACAGGAATTGTCAGTAGAATATGAGTGGCAATGTACACATTAGGATATATGTCAAAAGTTTGCTGGTATGAATAAACTGTACAGTGTCCATCACCACCTTTGCATTTGGCAACATTGATGACAAAATACTCAATTCTTCATACAGTTCAAGTCCATTTAAATCAAAACTATCACCGTGCTTCAGGGCGCTCTCTAGGTTCTTGCACTTTGTCATTAGCTGCTCTTGTTTTCCTATTTCGTTGAATTTAGTTTTGTCATACAAAAATCCAAACTGTTCATAGTGTGCTCGTAAGGTATTAAACCTTTCATTAACGGCAGATATTGCTTTATCCATCACAACATTAAAAAATTCAACCACAAATTTCTTTTCTGGATCTTCTATGGGCTCATCTGCTCCTTCATATTCCACTTGCTGTTTTTTCCTCAAAACGCTTGTCATGTTCTGACATGGTAATTTTGGTTCTACACAAAGTGCCTCTGCAAACTCCCTTGCTGTAACCTGTGCTTCTTTGAATCCAGTTTCTCTGTATTTCACTAAAAAGTCTTGTGTGTTGTTTATAAGGTAAGTGTTGAATCAAGTTGCATCATTGGACTCTGCATTATTTTGCTTACACTTGAGATTTTAACAAGAATGTCATACCAGATTATGACCGATGTTAGAAACTTGAAGCTGGATATTTCAGAGGCCAATGACTGTGCTTCACTTTTAGCTTTTGGATCTCTGGCTTCATCCGAAAGAGCAACCAGTGCTTCGTAAACTTCCTCAGATTGAGATCTCAACGTTTTTATACTTTCTTCTCTGCTTTCCCAGCGTGTCTCAGATAGAGGCTTAACAGTAATACCACTGACATGTGCTTTGAATATTTGCCATCATTGAGTGGAAGCTGAAAAGAGCATGTAAATGCGTTGCAGCAAACCAAAAAAAGAAATAGCTTCTACAGAAGAGTTGGCCATATCACACAAAATCAAATTAAGGCTGTGGCATGCACACAGAACAAAAAAAGCTTGTGGATTTTTCCTCCAGCAATCCAGCTTGCACACCAGAAATGTGTCCTCTCATAGTGGTGCCCTTATTGTAGGCTTGTCCTCTGAATGTTCATCATGGACATTCCCATTTGTTTTAGTTCATCAAGGAGAGCTTAAAGAAGTCCAAAACCTGTAGTGTCCTCTACTTCTAAAAATGTGATAACAGATTCCTTAACTTAATTTCACCATTAAGAAAGTCTTTTGTAGTAATTGGTTTCTTGAATTTCCTACCTCTAATGTCTTTAGGATATTCGAGACCTTCTATTCTCACAGGGCCTTTCTCAAGTATAATGTCACATAATTTTTTGTTTAAATTTTGTGGCCATGCGCCATTGTCATCTATATCCCATGCTAGTACAGTTTCAACTGTCGTAATTTCTTGTTTTGTGTCTGCATCTGTTTCAAACGATTGTTCCGTGTATTGTTGAGTTTCTTGAACTTTGTCTGCATAAAAATTTTCTTCGGCAGTTACTGTGCCTTTGTCAGAATGCTAAAATAATCAATTGGGTGGATGTAGCTTACTCCTGAAAAGGATCCCTTTAAAAATTTCACTTTCTCACTCAATGTATCTACTCCTTGTACCTGTTGAGGGTCAGGTCTGCTGACTTCAGTGACAAGTGTGCGTTTACTAGATTTTATTCCTGTTAACCCTCCAGGGTCAGTGCAGCAGGGAGAACCAACAAAGGTGATGCTGGTGCATGCATGATCATCAGTTTTTAACTAAGTTCCATTTTCACAGCCATGTGCTGTACCGCATTGTTGTGACTCTCAGGAGACAGTGGGACTGCACAGGTATAACTGAGAGGAGAATTACACTGAAGTTGTACAGGTGTAATGGAATTTGACCTGCAGAATCCTCATTATTGGTTGTGGTGAATAAGCCAGAAAGAATATAACTTTACTCAGATTCCAAGTTGAGTGTTGTGGTGGCAGCTAGAAAAACAGTCTTATAAATGGGGTAAACTTGTTTTGGAGTCATTAAAGGTACATCTGTGCAGCAAGCAGCAGCCCGTGGCAGCAAGTCTCAGAACCTGGGTCAACAGACTTGGGTTCTCAGGGCTTGGGCTACTGCACTAAAAATAGCTGTTGTAGATGTTGCAGCTTCAGCTGGAGCTCAGGCTCTGAAGCCTGTGGACGGGGGCGGGCTTCAGAGCCCAAGCTCTATCCCAAACTGCAAAATCTATAATAGCTATTCTTAGCGCAGTAGCCCAAGCCTCTCAAAGTCCAAGTTGGTCAACGCCGGCTCTGAGATTTGCCGCCACATGCTGCTGCTCACTGTGTAGACATATCCTGAGGTGCCATTAGTGTGGAACACCATAATGGTATTTTTAGAGTCACTTTTCAGAGTAGAACCAAACTTCCTTACTTCAGTATTTGAGTAGTAGCATATTTAATTTGTTTCAGTAGTGTCCAATGGCCTCTATTGGGATCTATTTATGTTACTAGGCATGGTGCGAATGCATCCAAAGTCGCAGACCCTTATCAAAAGAGCTCATGTTATATACAGGTAGTGTTTCCAAATTCACTCACATGTAATCAACAAAAATTCCTTTTGTGTACCTAGAACCCCCCAGGATAGCTGCTGCAGCAGAACAATATTTCCCAGGAAGTCCAGTGGCTGCTGCACCTGCTGCTGTTCCTCCTGCACTAACAGAGCCTACAGGGGAGACCAAAGCTACTGACACACCACAGGCTGAACCAACAGGTAAGATCTGTGGGTCTATGTTGGTGATGGATTATTTGGTGATAGATTTAAGATTATGAAGAAACCATGGAGGGAAATATGCACAAGCAACAACTTCACAAGACCTATCATCATGGTGGAGACTCAGACAATACTAAAGACGATGAAACATAGGAAGGCAGTGGGACTGGATGATGTACCAGTTGAGTCATTTATGTATTTGGCCATGAGGGAGTGGTGATGATGAATTTTTTCAGTGTCATTCTCTGTACTGGAAAAATGCCCGATGTGTGGAGGAAGAGCACACTGGATATGTACGAGGGTCGCACAACAATAGTGATAACTGACTCACTATAGCCACAGCTATTCACTGTGAGGGAAGGTCTATATAAAGGATCAGCTTTAGGCCCATTCTTGTTTGTGATTGTAATGAACACTGTGACATATTCTTTGAGTGGTGGTCCTTATGTATACTCCACTCCATGTACCTGAGACTGGAGATTTGTAGCAAGTAGTGTCTGTTGGTCTGCGCACACTCAGTTGCTCTCCTTGTGCTCTGAACTGAGAGCATAATGGGCAGTGTGGACTGACACATCTCCAATTTCTCCTTACCGCCATATAGATTCACTCGGAATTCTGTGTCCGTTATAGTCTTCCTCTACTGTCAATACTTGTAAATATATATTGTAAATAGTTTTTAGCAAATTTAGACTTGATGTGTTACTGTTTTTGTAGCTATTATAGTTAGTATAGCTCCCCATCTTGGGAAGCTTCTCCCCGTGGAGGAGTATGTCAAGAATCCAGGGGTTTAAGAACTGTATCTTCTGACCCCATTTCTTCTCCATCAATGATGAACACCAGCATTGCCTTGGAGAGGCTCACATCGCTGCCAAGTGTAGCTTCTGCTGCTCCTTCCCTCCTCAAACCCATGAGGGACAAGAGTTCCATCTGCAGAAACACTTCATGGAGAAGGCCATGAGACAGGCCCCAGTTGGACCCAGGCCAGGGAGAACCCCCTGTACAGTAGCCTTAGATTGCAAGCAGCACCATTCCGAGCATGAGTTTTGGAGTAGAGGCCAAAAGAGTAGGGGATATTACTATAGGCATAAGGACAGATGCCTGTCCTAGATCTGCCTCTTTAAAAAGAAAAACCAAAAAAAAGTATCCCTCCCCATCTTGGTCCAAGTTGGTTGAGTCCTCATGCGCAGGTCCTAGGAATTAGGTCTACATAAACCTTCCATCCAAGAATGAAAGGTGCAAAGGAAGGAAGATACGATGGTACTGGGTCCAGCTCCATCCCACAATCTAAAGATTGGCACCAGCTAGTCCTGTATCGGAGCTCCACATTGGACCCCCATTTGATGATGCCCACACCTCTGACTGGGATCATCTAAGTACAGACCACTGAATGCTTGGATCCGTCGATCCCCACCTTGGATGACTTGAACTACAGGAAGGATTCAAACCTTTACCTTGTTGAAGGATATTTTCACTCTGCCATATTCACAATCCCCTCTTCTATTGGGCCCGGTCCTCCTTAGAGTGATTTCAATGCCAGAAACCACTTTGAGGAGCAGAACCTCCCGTACTGCACTCACAAGTTAGAGCATTCTTCCACCAGTACTGATGGCACTGCTGATAGAACAGGAGTCTGCCTGTTGCTACTTGTGGGACCTGTGCTGTCGAACATATTAGTTAATGATCTGGAAAACGGAGTGAACAGTGAAGTGGCAATGTTTGCAGATGATTATACAATTATTCAAGATAGTTAAATACAAAGCAGACTGCAAAGAGTTACAGTGGGATCTCCCAAAACTGGATGATTGGGCAACAAAATGGCAGATGAAATTCAGTGTTGATAAGTGCAAAGTAATGCACATTGGGAAAAATAATCCTAACTACACATATATGGGTTCTAAATTAGCTGTTACCATTCAAGAAAGAGATCTTGAAGTCACTGTAGCTAGTTCTCTCAATGCACAGCTGTGGTCAAAAAAGCTAACAGCATGTTAGGAACTATTAGGAAAGAGATAAGAAATATCATCATGCCACTATATAAATCCATGTTGCGCCCACCCCTTGAATATTGTGTCCGGTTCTGGTTTCCCCATCTCAGAAAGGATCTGGTGGAACTGGGAAATGTTCAGAGAAGGGCAACGAAGATGATCAAGGGTATGGACCAGCTTCCATATGATGAGACGACAATTACACCATCTTTCTATATCTGGATGACTGGCTCCTAATGGGCAGATCAAACCAGGAGGTCCAGCTGGTGACCATATTCTTACTGCACCTTCCGAAATCATTGGGGATCTGTGTAAACAAAGAAAAGTCCACTTTGATTTCCATGAAGACTATAGATTTCATAGGAGCAATCCTAGACTTGTCCTCAGGAAAGACCTACTTCCTTCTAGACAGATTTCAGGCTATGGCCATATTGATAAATCAAGTCACCCTCAGACCTCACACCGCAATCAGGGTCTGTCTTTCCTTACTAGGCCACATGGCTGCATGTACATATATAACGCCATTTGCCAGACTCCATTTCAACTGCCTGCAGGCCTGGCTTCTGTCTGTTTACTCACCGTGGTGTTCAGGTTATCCTTATCTGGTAACAATCCCACAAAAGGTCAGAACCTCTCACATATGATGGACAAAACTGGACCAGGTACAAACGGGAGTTCCCTGGCTTCCATCCACAACTGACACAACCATAATCACGGATGCATCCCTCATAGGATGGGAAGCCCATATGGACAATCACACTGCACAATGCACTAGGGAGGCTAGAATGAATATCCATCTGCTGGAGATGAGGGCAGTTTGCCTAGCCTGCAAAGAATTCCTCCACCTCATAGGGTTCTGTCGCATCCGGATAACATTGGACAACATGACAGTCTTTTATATAAACAAACAGGGTGAACGAGATCTCATCCTCTGTGTTTAGGGGCAGTGAAGTTATGGAACTGGTGCATTAAGAACCACATAGCACTCAGCAACATACCTATTGTGTGCAGAATACTCTGGCAGACAATCTCGGCAGGCACTTCTCCTCAGACCATGAGTGGGAAATTCACAATTCTGTCTTGACTGAAATCTTCGTCCAGTGGGGAACGCCTGTTCACCTTCCAACACCTTAGGACCTGTTCACCTTCCAAGCAAACAAGAAATTCCGTCTCTATGGATCCAGAGCAGCAGTAGGCCAAGACTCCAGGGATACCCTTCTGTTATCCTGGATGGACCATCTAAGGTACCTGTTTCCTCCCATCCCCCTGGAACCATAAGTTCTTTGGAAAATTCTGCATAACAAGGCCAGGTTTATCCTCATCATACCCAATTGGTCCAGACAATTTTGGTTTCCGGAGCTTCTACAAATGTCATCCCCCTATCCTCTCATCTATATCTGACCCTTTCTGGATTTGTTGACTCAAAAGAAGGGTAGGATCAGACATCCCAACCCAGACCCTGTTCATCTCACAGCCTGGTATTTGAATGGATATCAGACCAGGAATGATCATGTTCAGAGTCTGTCCAAATTGTCCTCAATCACAGCAGAAAAATCTCCACTATAAAATGCTGTCTCGCTAAATGGAGGCGTTCTCTGCCTTGTCCCAATGGAAGCAGTTATCACGAGAATCAGCAGATATCCCTGTAGTTTTAGGCTATCTGCTGTTCCTCAAAATGTCAGGACTTTCCATTACTTCACTGAAGGTTCACCTGGCAGCAATCAGTGCCTTCCATTCTCCGGTAGAAGGCCAGTCTATCTTTACTCACCCTACCACAATTGATTCTTGAAAGGCCTCACTAGGTCCTTCCTGCTGGTGACTAAACTCACACCACAATGGAATCTCAACTTGGTACTCTCAGCTTCTACCAAACTACCCTTCAAATCGATGGCGACATGTTCCATGTCATACCTTTCCACTAAGGTTGCTTTCTTAGTTGCTATCACATCAACCAGACTGATGAGTGAACTGGGAGCATTTGTGGCTGACCCACCATATATCATATTTCATAGAGAGAGAGCCTCCTTTTGCCTCAACCCAAAATTTATCCACAGGTAATTTGAGTTTCATGTGAATCAACCTATTCACTTATCAGTATTCTTCCCAAAGCCTCATGCTTCCATCAAAAAAAAGACACTGCACTTCCAGGACATCAGACAGGCCTTGGCCTTCTATCCGCAAAGATCAATACCTATTAGGAAAACACAAGTCTGTTGGTATAGCAGAGCAATTGCGAGGACAAGAATTATCAGCCTAGAGACTTTCTTAGTGGATCTCTAGATGCATCAGTCAGTGTTAATCAGTTGACAAGTATTCTTCCTCCAGATGGGGTGCAGGCCCACTCTGAGAGCCCAAGCAACCTCAGTGGCATCTGAGATGTACCAGTAATGGACATTTGTAAGGCGGCTACTTAGAGCTCCATGCACTCCTTTACAAAACATTACGCCCTTGTCCAGGGTTCTTCAGCAGATGCAGTCGTGAGGTCAGTAGTGTTAGCTATCCATACCAACTGCATCCTCACACCCTCCTCCTGTTTGAGTACTGCTTACCAATCACCCACATGTGGAATACATATAAGGACCAGCACTTGAAGAAAAAATGGAGAAGGTTACTTACCTGAAACCTGAGGTTCTTCAATATGTGTGGTTCCTATCTATATTCTAATACCCACCCTCCTTCCGCTCTGCTTTGGATCTTATCTGATTCATTGTAGGAGAAGGAACTTTATGCCCTCAGTTCGGAACACAAGGAGAGCAACTGCACATGCATGGACCAACAGAGACTACTTGCTAAACATCTCCTGCCTCAAGTGCATGGAGTGCAAGGGTACCCATATGTGGAATACAGATAGGGACCACACATCTTGAAGGACCTCTAGTTACAGGTAAGTAATCTCCATTTACAGCAAAGGCTCCATGGAGAATACTTTTTGCCTATGACATTGTCGTGCCGTGAAAATAAATCCAAACTGGAAAGGGACCTAGAACTGAACTAGAAAAAATAGCTTATGAAAATGGCATATGAATCAGCTGGAATCCATGTGGTGCTTTGTTGAGAGGGACTACCAGATGCTAGTGAAATTAGATGGTAGAATGTTAGTCTGTGTGACAATTTAAATATCTGGATTCAGTCCTGAGCCATGTTGGGAATGTGGATACAGATGTCATGGAGGTGCATGGAGAGCACTTGGTGTAAATTGAGGGAGTTGACAGGAATTTCTGCAATAAGAATATGCCAGGTAAACTAAAGAGCAAATTATATAAGATCATGATTAGGCCAGCCATGAGGTGCGGGTTGGAATGTTAGCCAATGAGGAAGAGAGAAATACTACTACTAATTCACACTGCTGTAATGAGACTGATCAGGTGGATGTTGGGTAAGACGAGAGCTGATAGGCTATGCACTGAAAGAGTACAAGCCATTATGCAGGTAGTCCCCATCATATAAAATCTGAGGGAATATTGACTGAGATGGCTGGATCATGTGAGACGATATGTGAGATATTTTGGCCAGAAAGTACCAGATCTAATGGTCAGACTCATGGGACAAAGACCAATGAGGAAGACCTAGAAAAAGGTGGTTCAAGATGCTGAAGGAGGATGTGAAGAAAGTTGATGTCAGCTTGGAAGACGAAGAACAAGAGCTGCCGATCCTGATTGATGGGGTAAGGCGAAGAAGATGATGATTAAAGATTACTTTAAGGGCTCAGATCCATCGCTAAAGTTTGAAGGTGTTGGGGTCTAGGATTGAGCCCATTTTAGTGAAGATAGCATATTATCAAAGCTTCCAGCAAAAACCCACCATGAGTGAAAATTCAGAGGTGGGAGGGTTTGGCTGAATTGTATGGCTAGGGAATGATAAATCTAGTACACCTTCAGCTGTTGCATTAAATATGCCCAGAAGCTGATTAAATGATTCTTTACTACCTCATAACCCACAGCTCTTGCAGAATGTGAAGTTCCAAAAACTGGGTTATCTTTATTTGTGGTTAGTAGTCATATATATGTATGTGTATGTATGTGTGTGTGTGTATGTATGTATGTATGTAAGACTGAGTTGTGATCCAACTTTGCTTTAATCATACCAATGTGATCACAAGTTCAATTTATTGATGATTCTTTACCCTGTTGTTCATATTGTTCACGGCCTCCTGTGAGTCTGAGGCCATCTCTACACTGTAAAGTGACTTAACGTATGTCAGCATACTGCCACCGCAGTAATTGCATTGCTTGTGTATGTGTACGCTTTGCTGCTTGTGTCAGCAGTGCGCATCCTCCCTGGGAGCACTTGCATCAATTGTACTGTCAGTGTGATGCATTGTGGGATGGCTTCTGAAAGCCAGTAACAGTCGATGTAAGCAATGCAGTGTCTACACTGACACTGAGTCACCCTAACTACATCAACAATGACTCTACACCTCTCGTGGAGGTGGAGTTAAGTCAGTGTAGTAGGACAGTTACAGCAGCAGGAGCCAAATTTTAGTGTTGACACTTCTGTAGTTAGGTTAACATAAGCTGCGTTGCGTCAACCTAACTCCGTAGTGTAGACCAGGCCTCAGGATTTGTTGGAGTGCAACAATACTACTTGCCCCTGTATACCTTTCCCAGTAATATATATTCTGTACCAATCATTTAATTTATTTTGGAGAGGGTCATACTCTAGCTGAAACGGTGAACAATAAATAACAGTCAATGACTTGGCTTTGGAAACTCAGGTGTACTGCATAATTGGTATAGCCTAGATATAGGCCTTTTTAGATCACCGAGCACAGTAGTGAGAGTATCAGTTATGGCTGGAGAAAGTGAGTCCTGTAGTGTTGATTAAAGGAGGTGGTCAGATTAAAAAGTAAGTTTTATAAAATGAATTTCTTAACCTTTGTCAACACTTTAGATCAGCGATACGCAGACTGAGGCTCTCGAGCCGCAAGCGACTCTTTAACGTGGCTCTTTGCAGCATGTGATATTAAAACATGGTGTGATTTAACTATTATCCTGATTGGTTAATAACTATTGGGTACTTTTACTATGTTATTAACCAAGTGTAGTTGATAAAATAATAATACTTGGTCAGTCATTTTGCTGTGAGAATAATCTATATAAAATAGTAAATGAAACAATGAAGTCACACTACTGTGGCTCTTTTGGGTAATGTTGATCGCTAATGTGGCTCGTGAACCACTGAGTTCTGAGTATCATCGCTTTAGATTATTAAGAATCTAGTTTTGAAACTTAATTTACTTCCCACCATTTATACTGGTGTTCACTTTTTCTGTATTTCACCAAGTTTGGACAATGAAAATAGACTTTTTTTGGTTTTCGGCACTATCGTGTTCTGACTTGAGTGCCTTCAGACTATGCTGTGTTACATATGGAGCAAATACTTCAGGAGAATATTTAAATCCAAATAAACTGTATGAAAACACTTCTTTTGGTTTTATTAGGATTTTGTAAAAAAAACAACCAAAAAACCTTGTTTTTAAAAGCTAAAATTTGGGGCTTAAACTGACTGAACAGGGTCCTTGAAGAATTTCAGAGCTTCTGAAGTCATTGGGAACTGGGAGATAGTTGATGACTGTTGAATAAAATAAGAGCCCATGAGCCACATTCTAAAGCCTGTATATGTTCCAAGCTGAGTTCTGTTGTCAAGTGCAGAGTCAGGCGTTGCCAGTGCTTGGATCAGAGAAGAAGGTCCTGTTAGTGATTTAGTTGATGGTAGTGCCTTCTAAGTCAGGAGTAAATCAGTGCTCCTGCTTGAGATAGCCATGGGCACTGGGCAACTGGAGACGCTGGTTTTTTTAAATATGATGGAAAACAAGGTTCTGAGCACTTGTGGTCACTGAATATCCCACGGTACTTTTTTCAAGTGTAGAGGTGTAGCCAGCTGAATGTATACTATATCGTGATATTTAAATAAGTCATTCTCATTCCTGTTTAGTGCATGCTGTACATTGCCACATGCCAGAAGATCACCAACTGTGCCTCCTCATATGCTCCTAGTGGATTTTCAGGCTATAAGACTGCATACCTGACTAGGAATTAGCTCTATTAAAAATAGGGTGTATAGCGGAATACAGTAGTTTCAGGCACTTTGGTAACACACAAGTGTCAAATAAGGCATGTAGACAAGGATGCAGACTTTGGAGTATTTTGTACTGTACCTTTTGCTGCCATTTGTACAAGAAGGTGTATCTGTCATTACCACTAATAGGAATGATACACAGTCACATAAGAAAAAAATATGCCCTTTAAAGACTAGTTTGTAGGTGCTTTTCCTTTTCTCGTCATCCCCCATTTACAAACTTCAGAACTAGCAATATTTAGTATACTGGTTTCTTTAACTTCTGTTAATCTCTGCAGTGTCTGTTCCAGTGATGGGAGACGTGTCTGTTCCTGTAGTGGAAGAGCTGATGGTGTTTGAACCTTCTGTTGAGCAACACAAGTCAGCTCTTAATGAACCTCCAACAGGTAAGCGGACACCAGAAAGTCTGCATAAACTGTTACCTGAGGACTTAAATATTTTGGCAAATCCTGTATGAAGGCCACTATGAGACCTGAGTCTACAAAGGAAAGTCTTACTAAAAACCCTGCAGTACAGTAACTGGTGTAAATCCAGATATACACGTTCCAGTAAGATTGTTGAACACGAGGTAGTGCATTCATCCAAAGTAAATATTGCTCTGATCTGTCTTAAACTCAGCCTCCTGGTTGCAGCTCAACTCTGCTGCCAAGGTATGCACAATAGGAAATGGCTCACAAGGGTATTTCATATATACAATATGGAACTGATATTTTATTGTCCATTTTAGGATTTTGCATTGCTCTAAAGCACTATGGAATCTTTGGGGGAAATCAAGGTTTCAGAGAGAGATTTAGTGCAAGCCGTCAAAAGGCATGTTTACCCATCCCTAGTGGCAATTATTTTGTGTACATATTATGGTATCCAAAATATGTACTATAGGTTCCAAGATATGCCAAGTGATGTATAGACAAATAAGAAGACATAGTGCCTGCCTCAAAGGGCCTCTAATCTGAATAGGGCCTATTAGATTTTGTTGCTGGGTAGATACATTTTTTGGCAGTTTTGCCAGGTTGCTTTAGCTAAAGAATTCAGGGATTGAGAACAGGGATATTAAATGAGAAATGTTTGTATTCTGGCAGTGGGCAGGGGATTTTATTGTGTTTGGGGCATGATCATTGTAGTCCATGCTGTACAATCAGAAGAAGCTAGCATGGTCCCTGCTGAGTCGAAGTTATGATTTAAGTTTGACAGACAGTATAGTTCAGACTCTCAATACAGGAAAGGTAAGCTGTAAAGTACACCCTGGTAAGGATAGCAGTCACTTTTTAAATGTTATTCACTTAATTCTTTAGTGTCTTAACATTGGTAGGCTTTTGGGTAGAAGTGAGTTTTTAAAGGGAGAGGTTTTAACTAAAAGCAGCAGGCTAGGGAATGAGCCGTGAGGGGTGGTGTGGAAGAAGTTGTGAATAAAAGAGCCAGACAATGTGGGCAGATGTATTTAAACAGGCAGTTTAAGAAGTGGATAGGCTTCCAGGAGAAGTGAGAAGGAGGAAATGAAGGCAGAAACACAGGTTACGGGGGTGTAGAGAAGATGAGATTTTCTGTGGGAGGCCAGAGTAATCAATGAAAGGATAAGATTAGGGGAATGGAATAGAATAGTAGGAATGAGGATATCATTTTGCATGATCTGAAAGGGAATGGGTTGAGAATCAGGTTAGCTAGCGAGGAAGGGGTGACAGTAACTGACACCAGTGGTGACCACAGCCTGAACAAAGATTTTGGGGATCCAGATGGAGAAGAAGAATGAGAGGAAATTCAAGACAATGCAATGACAATGGCTGATGGGAGGAGAAGTAAGGACATGGTATAGGTGGGCAAAAAAAGTGGTATTTCACTATGCTTAGTCTGAGCTGCTGACGAGACAGCTAGAATGAAATCGGAGGGACAGTTGGAGAGGTGAGATTGGACAAGTAGGGAATTATGATAGTTGGAGCCATGTGAGTGAAGAGTTCATTTGTAGATAAAGTGTAAAGTAAAAAGAAGAGGACTGAGGAAAGAACCTGGAGAGATCTCAGGAGAAGTGGGGGAGGAGGATCTGCCACAAGAGCAGCTGGTGAGGCAGGACAGCAGAGATGTAAAAGCCCAAGTTGAAGAGAATTCTGGAGTGAACGAGCAGGCAGTAGAAAAAGAGGTTCAGGAAATCCCTTAGACTTACGCAGGAGGAGGTCAGAGTAGGCTCATACTTACTGGAGAGTTTGGGAAGAGCAGTTTCAAAGGAACAGATGGTAACTGGATTGCCTGGGATTAGGAGGGAGCCAGAGGACAAGAATTCAAGGCACTGTGAATAGACTGCTTTCTCAAGGAACTTGGAGGCAAATTGGGGGAGAGAGGAGAGTAGTTGGAGAGGTAAGTTGGGGGTCTCAACTGTTTACAAGTAGAAAAACCACTAACTTTTAAAATTTGTTGTAAACAGTATCATCTGCCCCAACTGTGGTAATGGAACAAAAAATGACGGTCCCAGAAGCCTCTACTCCTGGTGCAGATAGAATTCCTGTGCTAGAGAATGTGGAAGAGAATAAACCATCTCCCAGCAAACATACAGAGCATCTTCTGAAGCCAAATGAAGAACTCCCAGAGCTGGCAGGTGAGAAATCTATAAACCTGGGTACAAAATCAAGAGGGCTTCTTTGTTGTGGAGTCAGCATTTTTGATTGAGCTTAACTCTTCTCCCTCCCAATTTCTCTCTCACACTATTCCTCCGCCTTTGGCAGAAACCATGCAAAGAAGACTTCAGCCCCAAGGTGAATGTTTTGGAAAGTTATGAGCATGTGAAAATGGGGGTTTATATTAGAAACTGTTTCTCAGCCTCAACCTGGGGGGTAACCGCTGCAGATTGCTGTAATGTAGATATGATTTCCATTAAGGACAAGGGAGGGAATTTGTATTTCTTTTCCTTCTTTCCCCATGCATATTTGTTGTATCCATTGAATGTGGTGGTTGGTTTATTACAATTTTTATTTTTTATATCTTTGTATAAAGTAATTAAATGTATATAACTTAAAAAATTCAAGGTAATTAAAAATCTAATAGGTCTCTAATGTGATCACTTTAACAGAACTAAACTGTGTCTGAATTTTATGTCCCTGTTAATTTTTTATGTATATAATAATAATAAGCCCTTAAATGTAGTACATCAATCCACATTTTGGAAGCTGTGTCCAAACTTTAATTTTTAATCAGCGTTGTGAACCGAGTATTTGTTTTAGCTAGCGTGTTACAAGATGTTTCTGTCCCTTTTTTAGGTGAAGTTAACGGTTCACTTTCTCCTGTATTTTGGTAGTTTTGCAAGCCTCCTTGTTAGTTGATACAGTTAACAAGTATTGGGAAAAGCAACTGTACAGTGATAAAGCATTACAAGTTCAGTTTGAGTTGTGTGAAAGCCTGTGTTGTATGAACTCTTGATCCTTCTTCAAGTGTTTGCTCATGTCAATTCCATTCTAGGTGTGTGCGCGCGCCCATGTGCGCAGTCATCAGAGATTTTTGCCTTAGCAGTATCTGTAGGGCCAGCCATGGTGCCCCCTTGAGTGCCGCGCTCATGCGTTGATATATCAGGCGCCGCTGGCCCTATGCCCTCTCAGTTTCTTCTTACCGCCCGTAGTGGTCAGTCAGAGTGCCTTTCCTTGCATAGCAAGGGCTAGCGGTTTTGTCTCTTCTGACTTCGAGCCTTAGGGCCTTGTAAATAGTTTGTTTATAGTAGTTAGTGTTAAGTGTAGTTAGAAGTTACTCCCAGTGGGGACTTTGCCCCAGGTGGGGCATGCCCTGCTCTCCGGGGTTTAAGCCCTGAGCGGACTGTAACAGGCCTAGGCCTGTAAGTGACCCATACACCAGCTGCCTCAAGTGCCTGGGGGAAGCACATGTGAAGGACAAGTGTCGTATTTGTACACATTTTTGACCCAGGACTCAGAAAGAGCAGGATATTCATTTCCAGGCTCTTCTCATTTCTGGCCCTTCATCCAGCTTCCGAGCCGTCCCTCCAAGACTCACCTAATACCTTAGTCTCGGTGCACAGCACACCCCTGGCTCCACCTGGCACTGCTCCCCATCGCTGGTGCCCAAAAAGAAAACAAAGAACCCTGGCTCCACGGCACTGGGCAAGAAGGACCATGGGACATTGGGCAAAGGACTTGGTTTGGGCTGCCCAGCCACTCTGAAGCCCACATGTACGTGCCTCCCCGGTCAGGGCCCTTAGCCCCTTAAAGGATCCACCACTGGCTCCTGGGAGCAGTAGGGGACCCAAACTCCTGATAGCGACGAGAGAGCAGAGGTCTCCACCCACACTGCTGGCACCACCGATGCCGCAGGAAACGGCAAAGGCTCCCCACGAGATCAAGCCAGCAAGTAACAGCTCTCAGGGCAGTGGAGCGCTGCCGATGCCCCAAGACAAGGCAGTGTTCTCCGCGCCGCAGATCTCCAGAGTTGCAGTCCAGATCCTCTGGAGCTCGCCCTTGGTCTCAGGCACCGCGATCGCGGTCCCCGCAGTCTCAACACGGATCACCTAAGGGGGAGGCGCTAGTCTCCATACTACTGGCACTGTTCGCCCTCCTGCCAGTCATCCTCTTGGCGCAGATCTCGGTTGCCTGCCCCGTGGGAGCACTCCCCATCACAACTCCGGTCCCTTCAGCACCAGTCCCCTCGATACCGAAACCGATCCTCTCATTCCAGGCACCGGTCTCCAGCGGCGACGGTCAGCAGGCAGATGCAGGTGTCGATGGCCCCACCATGGTCACCAGAAGGTGATTCCTCTGGCATGGAAGGGCAGTTCAGCCCCTTGCCCAGACTCCACCAGCATGATTGGACTCCTGGGGCTGTGTTGACATTGACGGCGCTGTCTTGGCAGCGTGGCCAGTGGCCAGCGCAGTGGCCTTATTGGAGCGCGTTGGGCTTGCCAGTCATGACGATGCCCCCTTCGCACTGCTCATCTGCCGCTACCTCGGAGCAACATTTGGCAGCACCAATGGCACCAGGCTCGGTTCATGAGTCACGCTTGGAGGTCAGGGTAGAGGACACTGCACCCACCCCAAACCTCCCTTCCCCCATGGGCATGATGTACGTCGGTGGTACAGTCGTAGTCTTCATCTCCGGATGAGGCGGGTGCAGGCCCCTTGAGGGACAGCCCGCCGGACAATTTTAAAGAACAGCAGGCCCTTCTTCGATGGGTGGCCAAGAACTTGGGCCTAGAGGTGGAGCAGATGGCCGAGCAGGCGGACACTTTGTTCAACTTCCTCTCAGCCTCTACCCCTGCCCATGTTGCACTACTGGTGCATGATGGGGTCCTCAAAATTGACAAGGCCCTCTGGCAAACCCCATCTTCCATCTCTCTCACCTCCAAAAGTTCCGAAAAGAAGTACTTTGTCCCGGCCAAAGGGTTCAAGTACCTTTATACCCACCAACCTCCGTGCTCGTTAGTTGTTTCTGCAGCCAATGAAAAAGACAAGCAGGGGCACACCAGCTCAACTCCCAAAAATAAAGAGACCAAAAGACTTTTGGGACAAAAATTTATTCCACTGCCAGCCTACAATTCCAGGTGGCAAACCATCAGGCCCTCTTGGGCAGATACAATTTTAACTTATTATTGGACTCCCTTCATAAGTTCAAGGAGTCCCTCCCGTGGGCTTTGGCATCCTGGTAGATGAAGGCACCGTGGCAGCTAGGAGCTCCCTCCAAATGGGGTGGGATGTGGCGGACTCGGCAGCCAGGGGGGTCGCGTCAGTGGTGGTGATGAGGCGCAGCTCCTGGCTTCAGACCTCCGGCCTTTCCCAAGAGATGCAGACCTCCATCTAGGACCTCCCTTTCGATGGGAACAGTCTCTTCTCTGAACAGACGGATGTGAGACTGCATGGGTTGAAGGACACTCGGGCCACCCTTCGCTCACTGGGGATGCATACGCCGCAGTCTGCATGGAAGCCGTTCCGGCTGCTCCCGCCGCCAAGGCCTTGTCAGCCTTGTCAGGGGTCTGCAAGGAGAAGGGATAGAGACATGAGTTTTAGTCGTTGCCGCCCTTCCTCCTCCTGTACAGCCCAGCCCAGTGAAGCATCCATTTTGAAGGTGCGCTTCAGAGCGATGCCCCAGTCAATTTCCTGGATCCACCTTGTTCTTTCCTCGACTGTCTTTGTCCCTACTGTTCGGCCCGGTTGTAGGTCACCTCGGACCACTGGATGCTGGACATAGTATCTCGGGGCTGTATCCTGCAATTTTCCACCACCTCTCCGTCCCACCCACCTCTCTTCACAGACCCTTCTCACAAGCACCACCTTGTTCAAGAGGTCGAGAATCTCGTGCACCTGGGGGCAGTGGAGGAGGTCCCTTGGGACATGAAAGGGTTCTATTCCCGCTATTTCCTAATCCCGAAGGCAAAAGGGGGCCTCAGACCCATCCTGGACCTGCGTTGCCTCAACAAGTCTCTCATAAAGTTGAAGTTTTGCATGGTCTCCCTGGCCTCCATCATCCCCTCCCTGGATCCAGGAGACTGGTACGCCACCCTCGACTAGGGCACACGCATCGTCAGTGGCTTTCCTGGCACAGGTACCAATCCAAGAGATCTGTAGGGCCACTACCTGGTCATCTGCCCACACTTTTGTGTCTCATCATGCACTTACCCAGCAAGCTTGAGACGATGCTGGCTTTGGCAGAGTAGTGCAGCTGCAAGCTGCAAGACCGTGAACTCTGAGCCCACCTTCATTGATACTGCTTGCGAGTCACCTAGAATGGAATAGACATGAGCAAGTACTTGAAGAAAAACAGTTACCCACCATTTTTGTAACTACTGTTCTTCAAGATGTGCTGCTCATGTCCATTCCATTACCCATGCTCCTGCCCCTCTGTCAGAGTTGTCGGCAAGAAGGAACTGAGAGGGCATAGGGCCGACGGCGCCTGATATACCAACACCTGAGCATGGCACTCACGGGGGTGGCACAGCTGGCTCTATGGATACCGCTAAGGCAAAAATCTCCGATCGCGCACATGGGCACGCACACACGTAGAATGGAATGGACATGAGCAACACATCTCGAACAACAGTTACGAAAAAGGTGGGTAACCATTTTTTCTTTCAAGAAAAGAGGCTTGACCTGTCTTCAGATAGCAAAGACAATCTTGTATATTTCACCTTTGACACTGCAACCATTTTGTAGGGTATTTGTCAAAGGGAGCTTGAGGGAGGAATATATGTAGACAGGTTACAGAATCTTGTAAATTGCATCTATATTCTAAACCAAAATGTACTCTTTTCTATATGCCTGTGTGTAAAATAGTGGTTACACTCATTCATCAGATGTGAAACATCCCATCTTATTGTGTTTTTTGTGTTTCAATTACAGTGGAAGCAAAAGAACCATTGACATTAATAGAAACTAAAGAAACCCTTCCAGAAAAAACAGCTCCAGCTGCTGACCTGGCCATAGTAGAGAAGCTGAAGGAAGAGGCTGAGCTTAGTCAAGCCCACCATACAGAACCTCCACAAAAGAAATCTCCACTGGAACCTACAGGTAGAGATTTGACAGTAGCTGGAATTTAGAATTAAAATATATTTTCTCTCTGAATACCATTCTTCCTTCTCCTGCTAGCTGCGTTTGTCTTACCCTTCAGCCACATGGGCAAGCACGCGATTTTCTACAGCCAGCATTGTGCTGTTTTGTGAATTCATCACAATGATTCTGCTTGCACTTTGCCTCCAGTCTCTGCCCTGTCCCCTCTTTTTAAATGGTTTAATCTCCTTGGTTTCAGGACTATGAGTCCAAATTTGGATGCTGCTGTTATTTTCGTTGGGGGGCTGGCTTATGTCTTCACTGCTAAAGCATTTAAACGTTCACCTTCCTTCTCTTCTAATGCCATTTCCAACATGGCTCTTATTTTGGTGTTAAGACAAATCCAGTGTTCCTTGATTCTAGTAAAATAATGTTCATGGCAAATTTCTTTTCCAAATTGAGGTGTGTAGCTCAAAGAGGAAAACATAGTTTTGTCCCTGCTCCACTATCTCACCTCTCCATTGAGCCTAGATTGCTTATGTTTCTGACTGGAGGCTGATTTGTGGGACCAGGGCTATGTAAGAAATGACTGACACTCTCTAAAGTGAATGGCTTATAATTGAGGAAACTAGTGCTATCTACATCTGAGTACAGAAAATTATTTTTCTTTTGATGAAGTGTTGCCTTCCACTGCTTTATGGGTGCTGTGGGAAACTAACTTCTAGCTTTTTCTTCCCATTACATCCACACGCTTTCTTCTTGAGCCTTACCTTTCCACTAGACTTCTATTTCCTACTCAGGAAAGTTTCTAAACTAGAGGGTTGTAACTGGTGTAGCTGCTGTCTTGTCGTGCTAAGATAACAGGAAAAATGGATCCCTAATGCCTTTTCTAAATATTGGTAATTTCTCACTACAAGAACAGTTGTTTTATGGGAGTAAAGATCACCCACTGTACAAAAAATGACTGTTTAATCTCTGTCATTGATCTATTTGACTTTCCAATAACATAAAGAAATTAAACATAAAACCTATTTTAAAGTTAGCTTTCTTAAACATCACCACTAAAACTGGGTTTGGGGTTAGTATGGTATCAGTGTGTTTAAAAGTTCTGCATATATGACTGAGGCGGTCAATAAAATAAAAAATTGGCTAACGTCAGACTTTTTAGCAAATAGTTGCTCTGATACTTGAGCAAACTTCCTGTATTCCAGGTGTACCTACTGCACAAGTAAGGCAAGCTAACAAATCAAGTGACCGCAGGTTTGGCAGAGCAAAACCTGCAGCAGTGCCTGGTGCAGATGTCCCCGAGGAACTTCTAGTAGGTCTCCCACAACAGAAGAGTACTGACCCAAAAGCAGACCCCTTTTCTATGGCAGAACTTGGATGGGTCTCTGGAACATTCTCTCGGACTAGGGCACCACATAAAAAGGCAGCCGGGCAGCTACTCAGCATGCCGTCTGAATTTGTGGAGAGCCAGAGAGATGTACCTAGAGAGAGCTGGGATTCAGAAGGTTCTCCAGTGATTGTGAAGAAGAAGAAGAAGAAACAGAAACAAAAGAGAAACCAGCAGCCAAGAACAATGGAGTTAGGGGATGAAAATGTAGAAGTTTCTAAAGTTCCCAAAGTTCCTCTCTTTGCTGCTGAACTGCAAAAGCCAGACGTCCCCTTTGTCCTGCCTGCTGAAGGTGTCAAAGAGCACTCTACTCTCTCAAGAGAGGGCCAGAGGAAGGGAACTTCAAATGTACCAAGGGATGCTAAGGCAGGAACTGAAAGCCACCTCTTAGACGATCAAAATATTATCTCAAGTCCCACAGCAGGCCAGCAGAGCCTGAAAACTGAAGGACCATTTAAATTTTTGTTGGATGCAAAAGCTGGAAAAGTCATGAAACAGGAAGAAATGAAAGATGACAGTTTGTTGCAGTCTAAAAGCAAAAACAAACAGGTACCCTTGGAGAAGCTAGAATGCAAGGCAGAACACACTAAGATGGGGGATCCTGCATCAGCACGGACACAAACCAAGCCTACTGAAATAAGTTTTGTTGATAAAAACAAAAAGAGTGAGTGTAAACATTCAGATCTTAATGCATCTCTTTCAAAAGGCATCAACCTAAATAAAGTGGAAACTCCTTTGGCGGCCAAACCTGTAGAAATTAGCCTTATTGATGAAAATAAGGAGATTAAGTGCATATCTCCCAAGCATGTAGCAGCACATGAGACAGTTCCAAGTGAAGTTCAGACTCCCAGTGGGGCATTGATGGGAGAGAAACCAAAGAAAAGAGGTAGTGATGAAAAAAGCAGAAAGACTGAAAATGGTTTCTCTAAGCAGCCTGCTGTTTTAGAGATTAAGACAGATACAACCAATCTTCCTGCTGCAGCAAAGAGAGTCGACAAAACTAAAGAAACAGATTCCTTTGATAAAAGCCAAGAGACTGGCTCTATTACTGCAGAGCTTCCATTGGAAACTGCAACAGATATTACTAAAGTACCCCTTATACCATTGGTGTCAGACAAACCTAAAGAGGGCATTGCTGGGAAAAACAAAAAGGCTGACTTCAGTTTTTCAGAGCAGCCATTTATTTTGGAGACTGAGACGGATACAGCCAAACTTCTTGCTCCTGCTGAGACAGTCGACATAGATAACATAGATTTCACTGATAAAAGCAAGCAGACTGGATTCGATCATCCAACTGTGACAGATCCCAACATGGCACTGGTTACAGATAAACCTAAAAAGAGGGGTAGTGATGGGAAGAACAAAAAGGTTAAAAATTCCTCTGAGCAGCCAGTTCTTCTGGAGGCTGAGAGAGACCCAGACAAACTTCCTGCTGTAGCTAAGACAGCTGGCAAAACTAAAGAAATAATCTTTACTGATAAAGACAAAGAGCCTGGCTTTGCTATTGCAGAGCATCCATTGGAGGATATGACAGGTCCCAGTACTGCAAAGGTGGCAGAGAAGCCTAAGAAAAGGACTAGTGATGGAAAAAACAAAAAGGCTGAAAAAGGTTATTTCCAGCAGCCATTTTTTCTGGAGGCTAAGGAAGACACAAGCAGTCTTCCTGCTGTAATGGAGAAGGATGACAAAACTAAAAAAATAAGTTTCACTGATAAAGGTAAAGAGACTGATTTTACTACTGTAGATCCTCTGTTGGAGGGTGCAACAGCTACAACGGAGGTACAAGGTCCCACTACAACACTGGTAACAGAAGAACCTAAAAATGGTATTACTGGGAAAAGTGAAAAGGCTGAATTCAGTATTTCAGAACAGCCACTTCTTTTGGAGACTAAGCCAGATGTGGCCAAACTTCCTGCTAGTGCTGAGACAGTTAGCAAAACAAAGGAAGATAGTTTGATGGATAAAAGCAAAGAGACTGGGTTTACTACAGATTCCAGTAGAGCCCTGATGACTGACAAACCTAAAGAGAAGGGCAGTGATAGGAAAGGCAAAAAAGTTGAAAAAAGTTATTTTGAGCAGCCTTTTCTTCTGGAGACTAAGACAGACACAAGCAAGCTTCCTACTGTAGTGGAAAAGGCTGAAAAAATGAAAGAAATGGGTTTTGCTGATATAGGCAAGGAGCCTATCTTTACTACAACAGGGCATCAACTGGAGAATTTGACAGATACAACCAAGGTACAAGTTCCCACTATGAAACTGATAACAGAAAAACCTAAAATAAAGGAAAGTAATGAAAAAAGTTTCTTTGAACAACTTGTTCCCTCAGATTATAAAATGGACACAGCAAAGTCCGAAACACGCATCAAAACTAAAGAAATTCATTCCTCTGATAAAGGCAAGGAGACTGATTTTACTACTTTAGAGCACCTCTTGGAGGATATAAGCGATGCAGCTAAGGCACACATTCCCATTACAGAACTGGTGGCAGACAAACCTAAGAAGAGGTTTAGTGATGGGAAAAGCAAAAAGATTGAAAATAGTGCTGAGCACCTTGCTGTCTTGGAGGCAAAGACAGACTCCGTTAAACTTCCTGCAGTAGTCGAGGAGGCCAATAAAATTAAAGAAACTCACTCCACTGATAAAGGCAAGGAGACTCCATTTACTACTTCAGAGCATCTGTTGGAGGATATAATAGATACAGCTAAAATACAAACTCCCATTACACCACTGGTGACAGGAAAACCAGAAGAGAATAATAAGGGGAACAGCACAAAGGCTGATGTTGGTTTGGAGAAGCCATTTCTTTTGGAGACTAAAGTAGATGCAGCCACACTTCCTGGTGGTGCTGATGAGATAGTCAACAAAACTGAAGCTGTAAGTTCCACTGATAAAAACAAGATGGCTGGATTTACTATTTTAGAACATCAAACGATGATAGATTCCAGTCCAGCACTGGTGACCAGTAAGTCTAAAAAGAGGGGTAATGATGGAAAAAACAGAAAGGCTAAAAATGCCTCTGAGCAGCCAGTTGTTTTGGAGATTAAGACCGACAAAAGCCAAATACCGCCTCCCAGAGTAGCTGATCTGGAGTACCAAATGGAAGAAATGGGTCTTGTAGATGAAAACCAAAATATTAAAAATTTCCCCTCTGAGCATCAAATGCTTTGGGATAATAAGGGTCACTTGTTCACACCCTACGCTCAGTCTAGAGCAGTTGGTGTTGACAGAGTTGGCAAAGCTTGTTCTGTAGACAAAAATCAAGGGCTTGCGAGTATCTTTCCAGAGTATCCAGTAAAGGATGAAGGAAGTAAGGTGTCACTGCCTCCTGCAGTGGTTTTGGAGGGCACCAACAAAGAGTCAAGCACAGGTGACAAAAGGGAGAAAAATAAACACAGCCGTTATGAGCATTCAGTCAAACTGGAAGGTGAAGAGGCTGGCGTACAGGCTTTCACTTCAGTGAAGGAGGGTGATAAAATCAAAGTGACTAGTGCTGGGGATAAGAAGAAGAAAGGTAAACGGCCTTCCTTGGATTCTCCAGTTAAACAGGTTGCCAAGGCAGGAAGGGATGAAGTGCACACTTCCATTTTAGCAGAGATTGATGACAAAGAAATAAGTTTCACTGGTGAAAAGCAAAGCACTGAATGTGCTTCCTTGGAGCATCTGGTGAAGGAGACAGATGCCATAAAGGGAACAATTCCCACAGATGCCAAAGTGACGGACAAAATGGAAGGAAGTAGCTATGCTGGTGAGAAGGATGTTGGATGCATCTCTCCGGAACTTACAGTGCAATGGGAGAATAAAGCAGAAGCAGTTGTTCTGCAGGTTCTAGCTACAGCGGAGGTGGCTAAAGAGGCTGAGCTGGGTGAACAAAGCTTCTCTGAGTGCCCGGTTAGTTTAGAAAAAAAGACAGATGCAGCCGAGGTTGCTAGTGTGACTCTGAGAGATGCCCAAACAGAGGAAATCAGTCCTACTGATAAAATTAAAGGCCATTCTGAACACTCAGAAGGTGATGCTGCTGACAAGATGGAGGCTGGCCTGAAGGACTTCCAAGCTTTGAAGTCTGAAGAGGATAAATATGCAGACTTACCTCAGAAACAGATAGATGGTTCTGGACAAAAAGTGGTGAAAGAGATAAAGAAAGAGGAGAGAGTCAAAGCTACGGAACAGATAAAAGGCTACATGAGACCCACAAAGTCAAGAGGGCTTCCTACTCCACCACCAAGGCCTGCTGTCCAAGATCGAGAGAAACCAAGGCAGCTGAAAGCCAATGGTATGAGTCGGCAAAGGCAAGAAAAAGGTGTGTGCTTGTGATTTGAGCTAGCAGCAGTAACGCAGACAGCTTGCGTGTGAGACCTTGCTACTTGTCAGTGTGTTGGCATGAATACATAACTGTTAATCCTGTGTGTCACAAACAAATGTGGCATGACTGTTTTGGCTGATCTTAAAAGGCTCTTAATTCTGCTTGCCTGTCTCACGGTGCTAATTCCCAAGTTTTAGAAGAATTGATAGTTTGGTTTGAATTCCAAAGCTCTGTTTCTTTGGGTTGCATTTAAAGTCCATTTTATATGTCCTGCCTTTACAAATTAAACTAAACTGAACTTTGAGCATTATGGTGAAATTAACTTCTCAGCACCAGAAACTGAGTGTGATGCTTGTCAGAGATGCAGGACTTCCTATATTCAGTCTTGGACCAGTGACAGAAAAGTAGTGCTTGATCAAGGAAACTAATTGAAATTGATTAGAAATTAATGGCTTATACAACTGGAGAGCAGGGAATTGCAGATTTCTGTATTATGAAATGTTCCTTCCTGGCAGGTTGTGGGATCTGACTTTAAAATCACATTAGTCTAATTACATCTACTGCTTTTTTTCCTGCACTTGAATTCTGACCATTTTTACCTTCAACTATCTCAAACCACCAAAGGTATAAAAATCTGTGCTTCATCCCAACTGATTAGCTTTAGGAAACATTAATCTCTGATTTAGCATCTTGAGAAATAGCAAGTAATCAGATTGATGTAATTTTAAGATTTGATCCCTCTCAACCTGTCAGGGCTAGAACCATTTTGGAGGGACCAGTAAAACTTTTCCAAGTGCCAGTCCTGGCCAGAGTTCAGAGAGAATTTGGCTCTCTGTCAACCCAAGCTGTCTGACTGTGAAATGGAGCCCGCGTCTTGGCTGTGTTTTGACTAGCATGTATATATGATTTAAAAACAACCAACCGACCAACCTGGGACTTACGATGTTACCAACCTCCTTTAAAAGTGTGCTCTTTCATCTTATCAATGCATTCTGATGTAATGAAGTGGCCTAGCAAGGGTTCCTCATCCCTATCTAATAGCTGTTGTTTTTGCACTGTCGTTAAGGCATGAAACTTCCCTGTTTCTCTTTTTGCAGAGTTCCACATTGTCAGCATGAATGATACAGCTGCTAAATTTAATAAACATGGAGCCCAAGTCAGCCTTAACATTCTGGTCAGGTTTTTGAGAGGTTTTGTAATTTTAATGAGTGTTGCATAACCCAGAGTTGTTCTATTTTGGAAGTGGTTGCTCTGCATGAACTTGTGCCCATAGAAGTATGCTGCATGATGGTACAAAGTGGAGTGAACGCAAAAGGCAGTGTCTTTAAAAATAAAAAAGCCTTTATAATCTGCTAGAAACCTTTTTGTTTCCCTTTGTAAACTGCTACTTTTAAAGGGATAGTTGTAAAGCTAGGAGATTCCTGCAAAAAAGAAAAGCACTTCCTGACTGTTGCACAGGTAAATTTTACTGAAAACTGCACAATACATCAAAGGACTCCCAACTGCAGTGCAGAATGGCTACATGTAAGTAGATTGATATGCGGCTTGCATTTGCAAGTTGGTACTATATAAGGCCACATAGAAGCTTTCTAATTAAGCACAATTGCCACAATCCTTGACTACACTAAGCAACACTTTGTAGATTGACAGTTGCTTTTTAGAGAAGCTGTGAATGATTGAGTTTATTTTGGAGATGTTGGTTGACACATTTCCTACCCCAATTTGAATGCACATTCTGTCAGGTGCAGGATTGATGAGGAGGGCTTGAAGGGATGGCTCTGGCCTCTGGCATGGTTCTTAGGCAAACAATTGTTGACTGCACAACATCTGGGCTGAGTGACAAAATGTTACTTTCAATAAAGCACAGAACACTGTGGGGACAAAAAGACAGACTCCTTTGACTGGCTCTTGTCCAAATATTTGTGTCTCATTTTCTTTCCATCCCTACACCTTCCAACTAGTAATGAAACAACCGTTTAGTGAATTCCCAAGGACTATGAATATCCTAGCTTAATTCCTAAATGCAAAGAAATGTTTGTGTAAAATCTATTTAGGATGTCTGGTACTTTATCAAGTGAACAGTAAACTCGTGTCAGATAAATACAGGTTAAAAACACTGATCAGTGTGACGAAGTTTTTATGAGGTTTAAGTAGTGTATAAAGAGTAGCCTTGTTTACTGGTTAGAGCAGGAGTTAGTGGGAGCCAGGAGAAGACCTGCATTCTATTCCAAACTCTCTCACTGATTTGCTTTGGCCAGGGGCAACTTATTTATCTTCTGTACTCCAGTTTACCCCATTTTCTATAGGAATAATACTTAACTGTGTAAAGTGCTTTGAAATCCTTGGATGAAAGATGTTATAGAATTGTCTAAATATTGCTATAATATCTATAAATAAAAGTTAGTTTTATAAAGCTATTCTATTTAAAAAAAAAATTAAGGTGTTTCTGGGGTCTACATAAATCATGAGAGTGAAACTTAAATGGCTCCATACTTGTCACCGGAACGCAGATTACAATATCACTGTGTATTGTGGCTGTGGATTTATAATAGTCCATGAGATCTCTGTTACATATTTACATCTCTTGCTCTTCAAATTTATGTAAATTTGTTCATTCGAATACCACATCTGAGTATTTTGGAGAATGTTCTGCTAAAAATTAGCTACTGAAATTTGTTTAGCAAAACTAGAGGGCTGCTTGTGAGATCTGTAACTACTGTGTATGTGTGCTACAGTACAACAGGAGGGCTCCTCTAAATTTATATGGAGGCATTTATGTAATGTTAGTGTAGATATACACCAGTGTTTTATATCATGTAGAACATGATTTGATTTCTGCCCCAAAGAGCTTTTATCACTTCTTGGAAGACGTGGCAATTACAATGCTGTAGATATCTTTATTTGATAGGACTGTTCCCTACATTTTAAATGTGGATTATCTACCAAAAAAACCTGTTAAAATGCTGTTGTGTAGATTGCAAAGTCAAGCATTCAAAAGTTAGAAAATGGCAGATTTGTGACTGCCCATGCAGCTTTCTGCCTCTTGTATGACTGTTTACCATATTGAGCCTTGTCCCTTCTGTTCCCTGTTACAGCCATTACTAGAAACACACAGGTATTCTGGAAACCTATTTCACATTTTTAACACCACTGGGCAGTAAGGATTATAACCAAAATCTGCCTGTTGTAGGGTGACTACCTCCCTCATGACCTCATAGTGGCTGTGCATTTGGCCACCCCCTCAGTTTCCCTCTTCTAGGGCCTGCATTAACTCCACACAAGCTTTCCAAATATAAATAGTCCTTTGCGAGGTTAATTTATTACAGAAGTCGCACAACCATAGTCCAGAATTCCCCAACGTAGTCAAACTGTACATTCAGTCTTCAAGTCCCAACAGTCCATCAACACACCATGAACAGTACTGCTCTGACATCTCTCACCATGCGCATGCTCTCCGGTACAGCCCCAGTGGCATGCACCGCCATTTTAGACACTTAGGTATGGCTCCAGCATATCTTACTGCACCTCATCTCTTGGGTACACGTCTGGTGTGTCTCACCATGCTTCGCTCCTGCCCTTCTACCTTTTCTGCCGTGTTTCCTTCTCAGATACGGTTCCAGCTGGCTCACTCGTCCATAATTCCCGAGACTTTAGCCCTCTCTGGCCCTCCGTCTTCAGCTCTCCAGCTCAGAGAGCCAGCAGGCATCTCCCCCTGCTGCTCTCAATCTTCAGCCCTCTCTGGTCTGGGGAAGTTTGTAAATAACAACCCCCGCTCCCCGACTGCCTTCCGCGTTCACCAACCTGATCTGGCTCTGTTGCTCAACCAGGGAGCTCTCTCCACTCCCTCCTTCAAGGTGATCCTCTCCCTAAAGCTCTCAACCTTGCTGTGTTCTTCTGAGCTCTCTCTAGACTCTCTAGGTTCTTGACTCTCCCTTGCCTTTGGGCTGTGTCTCATCTATAACTCGCAGGGCAGCTCTGCCCTCCCCATTACACCAAACTAGGGCGTATCTGAACTGGAACAAGACAACTGGGCCTGATTTCATTTCAGGGGCTAGCAATCCCATTCCTCTGCCATGCTGGTAGGGTCAACATTTATCAGGCAAGTTTTTGATAGCAGCCGTTATGCTTCATTTTGGCTGGAGTTCTAAGTAGGATTAGATGTGAAAAGAATGTGTAGGAATCTCAGTATTGACATAGACATCCCTACCAATAACAATGCAGCTGACCTCATGCTGAGGAATGGAGATGGGGTAAATGATACTAGGGTTGAACTATCCCACTTAGACTTCCAAATAGCATTCCCTGTGTCTCCCCATCCCCCCACTCAGCTGGTATCTGTGTCAACACTAAAGGCTTCCTGGGAAAAAGACCCTCTCTAGCCTATATCGTAAGGAACAGCATACTATGAATAGTCTTGCTTACCTAGCCCTCATGTTTTTGTTTGTATCCACCTGTTGTGTTGTCTTCACATTTATATTGTGTAAGCTCTTAAGGACAAGAACCATCTTTGTATGTACAATGCCTATTATAATGGTCCTTGAACCTTGTCTGTGTCTTCTAGGCACAATGTAAATGAGCAGCATATGGAATACCAGTGTTAGGAGTATTGGCTATTCAAAGGTTCTGAAAATTACCCTGTCGGGCAGGGATTTGAAGGGCCACTTTGAGCGGTGGTCTCCTACTTAGCTTCTCTCTGTTTTCAGAAGCTTTTCATCCTACTCTCCTTCGTTGCCCTCTGCTGGCATTCTTCCAGCACCCTTTCCTTTAGCTAATAGCCAGCTGTCTCCAGAGCAGTCACCAATACCCATCATTCGCATAATCCTTTTCAGTGTGTAACATATAGTAGTTCACATTTTTAATCTGACAGCTTTACATCCCTCATATGTAAATAAAATATGTTCAACATCCAAAAGAGCCATCTCTAATTAATTACAATGTTTTCTTCTGTTCTACAACCACAATGATGCCCTTTCTCTGAATGTTGTCTTTTCCTGGCTGTTCTGAATTATAGTGGTGTCATTCATGCTGTTAATCTCTTAGCATTTCCATTATAACCCTCCTCATTCACACAGTTTCAATGGTTTATAATTCTGCTCTGACTTAGTCTCAGCTATAACTGGGTATGTAGATAGTTACACATGGCTGTCTAATGGAAATTATTGCCAAATCATGACCTCAAGCACACAGTTCTGTTCACAAATGCCTTTTAATCAAATGTTTGGTTTTATTAGTACAGTACAGGTGGACCTAGGTGTCACAGTGGACGAGAAGCTGGATATGAGTCAACAGTGTACTCTTGTTGCCAAGAAGGCTAATGGCATTTTGGGCTGTATAAGTAGGGGCATTGCCAGCAGATCGAGGGACGTGATCGTTCCCCTTTATTCGACATTGGTGAGGCCTCATCTGGAGTATTGTGTCCAGTTTTGGGCCCCACACTACAAGAAGGATGTGGAAAAATTGGAAAGAGTCCAGTGGAAGGCAACAAAAAATGATCAGGGGTCTGGAGCACATGACTTATGAGGAGAGGCTGAGGGAACTGGGATTGTTTAGTCTCCAGAAGAGAAGAATGAGGGGGGATTTGATAGCTGTTTTCAACTACCTGAAAGGGGGTTCCAAAGAGGATGGAGCTCGGCTGTTCTCAGTGGTGGCAGATGACAGAACAAGGAGCAATGGTCTCAAGTTGCAGTGGGGGTGGTCTAGGTTGGATATTAGGAAACACTATTTCACTAGGAGGGTGGTGAAGCACTGGAATGCGTTACCTAGGGAGGTGGTGGAGTCTCCTTCCTTGGAGGTTTTTAAGGCCCGGCTTGACAAAGCCCTGGCTGGGATGATTTAGTTGGGAATTGGTCCTGCTTTGAGCAGGGGGTTGGACTAGATGACCTCCTGAGGTCCCTTCCAACCCTGATATTCTATGATACAGACCGTTTACGCGCGGATGTCGGGAGTCAAGCCATCACGACCGTGTGTTAACGGAGTGCAGGTTAAGAGGGCCATGCTGAAAAAAGTGTCTATGATTTACTTAGAAAAAAAGCCGTTATTTTCTGCTCTTTCTGGCTCGCATTTTTTTTCTTACGAAGTCTTATCAGGTAGCAGTTTTGCAAATAAAGCTGTTTCATCACAATTATAAAGTTGTTCTTCGTGGTAGTCTTCATTTTGTAAAATAGATTTTAACTCGGCGGGAAACGCGTTCGCGGCCGATTCATCGGCTGATCTGCTTTC